AGCATCGTGCTGTGGGGATGTTTTTGGGGAGCAGGAACTCAGACAGCAGTGAGGGCTGAGGGAAAGATGTATGTACAGAAACATCCTTGATGATAACCTGCTCCAGAGCACTCTGGAACTTGGGCTCTGGTAAAGGGTCATCTTCCAACAGGACAACAGCCCTAAGCACACAGCCAAGATAACAAAGGAGTGACTTTAAGACCACTCTGTGAATGTCCTTGAGTGGACCAGCCAGACTTGAATCTAACTGAAGATCTTTGGAAATGTCTGTGCATTGATGCTCCCTATCCAACCTGATGTAGCTCGAGAGGTTCTGCGTGGGAGAAATTGACCAAAAATAGATGTGCCAAGCTTGTAGGGTGTCTACAACTGAGCTCAGTTTATAAATACTTGTGTAAATGTTATATTTCAGTTTTTTATTTTTAATAAATTTGCGAGAATTTCATGCAATTTTTTCACTTTGTCATTATGGGCTTTTGTGTGAAAAGGGTTGAGGTAAAAAATGAATTGAATTCATTTCAGAATAAGGCTGTAAAATGATGCACTGTGCATCAAGTGATTATACACATCTATGTGAGATAAAGAGCATCAGCCATGGTGACCCCATGTGTATCAAAGAAAGCTCACAAAGAACGAAAGGAAGGTCATATCAAAGAAAGCTGGTCCCTAGAGGCCGCAGCACTCGGGGGAACTGCTGGTGCCCAAGAGGCTTTCAAAAAAACGAAAGTAGGTTTCTTCAAAAGGAAAATAAATGAATAAATGAAAACTGTGAAAACTGTATATATGTTTCATGTGATGTGCCAGTTAATTGATAAGTCTAAGAAAAAGATCAAGCAAATAAGATAAAATGTCAAAACAATACAGGGGAATACATTACAATAAGCTCTTTGGTTCTTCTGAATGTTGCACAAAATTCAGCAAGTATTCTTCTGATATATTCTTTTTGTTCCTGACTTCACCATCATGTGAATACACATACTAGCTGCTACACCTTTGACAAGAATGACTTATTTTACATATCTGAAAATGAAGGGATAACAAAAACAACAGCAGTTATAGAACATCCCCCTAAAATGTGCAATTTTTTACATATTTGAAATGTTAGCTCTTACAGTGAGAGCAGCAGACCATATGAATCAGATGGACAACCATTTTTTTCAACTTAAGTCACTTTGCCAACCTTCTTAAAAATAAATAAACAATGCTAGACTAATACACTCAGATAAATGTAGCTTCAGTGATTAAAGTACAAAACCATACTCTTAGACTGCAGAGGCAAAGCAAGAGAGACATTTTCTCTAGGTACAGAAGTTAATCAGTGAACTGACGATGCATTTGAACAGCTACAATATGCTCAAACCTTTTCCATTTGTTTTGCAGTTTTTGAGTAGCTGCAAAAGCTGTCTAATGACCTCTTTTTAGTTTCAAAGATACATGAGGGGTATTTCCCAAAGTCTGACCTGCACAGGCCCAACCGCTCTGTGTCCTCCTCAGTCATGTTGGTTACTCTGATTGCTGCAGAAGCACTAAAATACTGTGAACTGAATAAACTGAGCTCATACTGCAATAACCTACGGTGATATGGGTGCTTACGTTTTTTATTATCAAACTGTGTAAATTAGTGTAACTTATGGTTAAAATGCATCACAATAAGCTGAGGAATCACAGTGACTTTATTGGTCAGGCCTGGACCACAGAGATCCGCCCATAAAGTTTAATATAACATTTCAGCACAGAGATTTCTTTGAATAGAAATCTCTAAAAGCATCAAATGACGCATATGAGCATGGATCATACATAATATTTGAAATGTTTTGTGTTCAAAACAGGAAGAGACTGTCTTCATGTATTGAATGAAGCCAAATCTTGAGAGCAGAAGAAGAAGAAGGACGCTGCAACAACTTGTTTGAAATCTTAGTACCATATACCGAACTCACAAAATGTTATACTGTAGCACAAACCTTCAAATTTTTTTCTTTTTTAAATTTTTTTCCATGGATAAAACACAACATTATTGTATTTCTACCTCTGCTACACAAAAGCTCAAAATTTTCTGGGAGATGAGAACAGGCCAGAAATGGATAGATGGGTTAAAGGGCACAGTTGCTTGGTAGATAATTGGTGGGACATGCACGCTGTTGTACGGTATGTCCCTGGAAAACAGGTAAGTGCTCCCCTTATTAATACCATCAGCTCTGCTGCTGCCTGCAATGGAGTGCGCTTCTCAAAGCCCCTTGACTTTCAGAAAAATTGACTGTCATCAACTGTGACATGGTGCTCTGGCATTCCAGTCACACGTCCTCCTCCTCCTCCGTGCACTCTCTAAAGTGTCCTGCGGTTGTACTGAGAGTTGTGCTCTTCTGGTTCCATTTTCATAGCAGCGATGGAGTTTGACAGACTCCTTGGCTCCCACCATTCGACCTGCCAGCCTGTCCTCTCCCTCTATGACTGACACCCTCAATCAGCTTGTAGAGGGAATTCAAACGAAACGCAAAAGACAAGACGACCTGTAAGTCGCTTTCAAGGACGAGAGGGCGGCTCCGACTTTAAATAAGGTGCTGAAGTTTAAAGAAGGAAAATTTTAAAAACAGAGGAGTTTGGGAGGGAATGTGCATGCTCAAACAAAATCCTGAGCTGAATGTCAATTCACTTCAAAGAACAAAATGAAAAAAGACACTGGGCTATGTTTCACGGTGCCTTTACACAAAGGCTTTAGCCGTTTTATCCACCTGCTTCCAAAGAGCGGGAGACGCCTCGGCGGTTATCAGCAAAAGGCAGGGGCCATTAAGCCGACAGTTTTTTTTCAAGGGAGGTTTAACCTGCACCTCAGAGAGTATTTGAGTTTGTCAAGCCTGTTAAGAT